CTAACTAACGGCGAAGGACAATTGGCGGGAAATCGTTAAGTTTGCAAATAAATGTTACTCATTGATTCTGACTCATAGGGAGGTATAATACAAACTCAAATGATTGTTTAGAACGTACAGATTACAAAAATAGAGAAATGATTACGTGCATATAATAGTTCGGATATCGATATCGTATTATTAGGTTAGAATACGAGAAACTAAGAAAATCTACACTATAAGCATTTATCTGACGACGTGAGCAATTACCTAATGACATGAGCAGTAACCGATGTCGCTCTTGTAATGAACATAGGATAATTATTAATCTTACCAAGCGCTAATTAAAATCTATCGCTGAGGCTTACAAAAGATCCGCACGCCGAACGCCATAACACCAGAGAGAGAGAGAGAGAGAGAGAGAGAGAGAGAGAGAAAGAAAGAGAGAGAGAGAGAGAGAAAGGAAAACCGGAAAAAAGAATTAATTCAAGCGTCGCAACTAACGCTTGCAACGCCACAATTCTATATAGTCCCTAGAGAAGAGAGTCTGAACATTCAGCAAGTGAACCTCAAAATATATGTGTGGGTAAATATGTGTATGTAATGTAGGTGTGTGTATTTTGTTTGGTGTTGTGTCATATAAATAAGTTTTTTTTACATACACATCAATTTGTGATAAGTAATAATAATATAATATATAATAATCATATAGTTTGATATAAAAGTTAAATAAGTATTGTAATATTTTTGATTTCTATATCCATAATTATTAATATATATTAATAATATTTAATATTCATTGGGAGTATTTATTGGGACAAATTAGTTCGGTCCATTTCCTTAAAGATAGCTCCAGCTGTTGTGAATGGTTCATAGTGATGCTGATTTTGGCGGTTTCAGAGAGGTTAAACATCTGCTAATAATAATCAGTTTATATCGCTTTGAGTTTCATACAAAAACCTTGATTTTTACTGTGTTTGAAATGTCGAATTTTGTTGTTTGCCAAGCAGCATTTACGAGAGGTTTTGATTTTCTGCTTTAATTGGAAGAAAAGTGATGGGCTGAAGCCCATCGAATGCTTGTCGAAGTTTATGGTGACACTGCTCCAACTGATAAATCAGGGAATGGTTTCGATGATTCAAGGATGGATTAGGTGTACAACTTTGCTTCCGCCGTTTTCCTATAGACTTTTTTCCTATAGGCTTTAGCGGTAAGTGGTGGTCGAAATAAATAGATCATAGACGTCATACAATAAACTTGGGCATCTGTCAACATAACCCCATAGAAACATTAGTCGATTTGTGTCTGCATCATAAAGTTATTCTCGATTGAAAATGTCAGTTTACGAGCCAAATTCTCGTCATTTGCGGGAGGTTTTAATTTTTTGCTTCAATATGAAGAAATCTGCGGCTGAGGCTCATCGAAGGCTCTCAAATACTTATGGTGAGGCCGCTATTAGTGAAAGAACGTGTCGTGAGTGGTTTCAACACTTCAAGAACGGTGATTTTGACGTCCAAGGTCATGCTCTGTATTTGGTGGGACCAGCTCGGCGTAGTGTATTATGAACTGTTAAAACCGACTGAAACAATCACAGGCGATCGGTATCGAACGCAATTGATGCATTTGAGCCGAGCATTGAAAGACAAATGGCCGCAATACAACGAGAGACACGATAAAGTGATTTTGCAGCATGACAATGCTCGACCCCATGTTGCGAAAGTGGTCAAGACATACTTGGAAACGTTGAAATGGGAAGTCCTACCCCACCCGCCGTATTCTCCAGACGTTGCTCCCTCTATCTATCACTTGTTTCGATCAATGGCACACGGCCTGGCTGACCAGCACTTCCGGTCTTATGAAGAAGTAAAAAATTGGATCGATTCGTGGATAGCCTCAAAAGATGACCAGTTTTTTCGACGCGGGATTCGTACGCTATCCGAAAGATGGGAGAAAGTAGTGGCCAGCGATGAACAATACTTTGAATCATAAATGTATAACCAGTTTTTTACAATAAAACCTCGAATTTCGGAAAAAAAACGGCGGAAGCAAAGTTGTACATCTAATAGATTTGAAAACAAGCCTCGCTCTAGACAGCCAAAAAAATTAGAAAACAAAAAACTAGAGGCATTACTCGAAGAAGAATCAAATGCAAGAGGAGTTTGCAGAATCATAATTCAACAAGCCGTTTCTGTACGATTGAGAGCCATGGGAATGATGAAAAACAAGGAAATTGGGTGCCTTATGAACTGAAACCGAGAAACGTTGAAAAGCGATTTTTCACTTGTAAACAGCTGATTCAAAGACAACAAAGAAAAGGTTTTTTGCATCAGATTGTGACTGAAGATGAGAAGTGGATATTCTACGATAATCTCAAGAAGAAAAAATACTACGCTAAGTCCGGTCAATCGTTGCCATCGACCTTAACATCAACATCACGGTCGAACATTCATGGTTCGAAGATCATGCTCTATATCTAGTGGGACCAAAAGGGTCTTGTTTACTATGAAATCTGGATTCCATTACGGGCGATCGATATCGGCTACAATTGATTCGTTTGAACCGTGTATTGCAAGAAAAACGGCTGAAATACGGCAAAGACATGATAAAGTTATTCTTCTTCATGATAACGCTCGGCCTCATGTCGTAAAAAAATATTTGGGAACGCTCAAATGGGATGTTTTATCGCACCCGCCGTATTCTCCAGACATTGCTCCTTCTGATTAGTGGTTGTTCCGAAGGATGCAGCAAGTCACCGGTTCACTTCGTTCGCAGAAATCGAAAATTGACTCCAAAATTGGATCGCCTTCAAAGACGAGTCATTTTTTCGAGATGGAATTCGAAAATTGCTTGAAAGATGGGAAAAAGTAGTAGGCGATGGGCAATACTTTAATTGATCTGTTCATTCATTTTGTTTTGAAATAAATGCATAAAAAAACAGACCGAACTAATTTGTATTCCCAATATAT